GACTGGCTTCTATTTTTGCTCGAAAGGCAGACGTTTGAACACTGGCCTTGACTTCATTTCAGGAGCCAGTGCTTTCAGTCTACAGCTTTGGAAATGTCTGAGTCGATTAGAGACATTGGTTTAATATCTAGGGCTGTTGGCACCAACAAATCTTTCCTCTGTCCCTCTGGCAGAAATAGTGGTGCCTCAGTAGGTTTCCGTACCGTGTTTCAAATTCTACAGACCAAGGGGCTTGGGCTTTAAAACCTAGAACAGTGATACTCGGACCGAGACTCATGATCCGCAAGCGGCTCTTTTCTGTGTCTCCTGCGACTTTTTGCCGCATGTGATATTAAAACACTGTGTGATTTTAATTATTAACCAGTCAGGATGCGTTTACTATGTTAACCAATTGCAGTTGATAAAATAATACTTGGTCAGTCATTTTGCTGTGAAAATAATACTGGTAGTTAGTTATAGAATTTCCCGTCATAGTGTTTAAGTATGAATAGTACTATAGTAAATGAAACAATGGATTAACACATCTTTTGGGTAATGCTGATCGCTAATTTGACTCCCGAACCACTAAGTATCACTAACCTCAAAAGATCATTTCTAGCAGCACCTTGGATGCTGCCTCCTCTGCTCTTTGGATTCCCCAGAGAATCACTTCCCTTTAAACTGGTTGGGCAAAGGAATTCAGCTTCATTGTCTGTTCTCTGTGATCCATCTCTCTTCTGCTCTCTCAAAGCATTGAGGTTTATTTCTGGGCCACTCACCCTGGTTCAAAACACTGAACTCGTTTCAAAAAGAAAAAAATCAAACCAATCAACCCTTTAATGTAGCTCCAGGGCCGTAATCAGAGCCAATGCGTAGGGGGGTTGAAAGTGACACATGGGTATACCTGGTTAAAGGCAGCTAAAATGAGGTAATTCACACCTTCTGTCTCTGAGTGTGTTACATCAGTTTATAGTGAGACCCTCTTGTACATCAACAAACTGAGAGGCCAGAAGAAGGTGTAAATTACACCATCCTTGCTGCCTGTAGACTCACTTTGCCATGTGTAACTCCGACCCCCACCTTCCCCAAGCATTTAGTTCACACATGTACCCAGTTAGTTGGCCTTGTCATTTTTAACATGCCGCTCTCAACCCCAAACGCCTTCACGCCACTCGCTCCGAGGCCCGCCAGTCGGTTTTGGGGACACACTTGCCTTCATCCCACACAACCTTGTGGTTGTCACTCTACGTTTTTGACATCAGAAGTGTGAAATTCTGAAACCAAGGTTATAGAAAACCCGGTACATGTTAAAGAAGCGAAGCCCACATCATTTCTCTGCTGTCAGTTTTGCTTATATCATTCATTTTCTGCCTTGATCAGGCATAAATGGTTTGCTGCTACTACAGGGACTGGGGATGTGGGGCAAACTGCACGGCCAGTGCTAGTGCCCCATGAGTCACTTCTCAAGGGCCATTGTTCTGTTCATCACACCTAACACAGGGGGAGGGATAGCTCAGTGCTTTGAGCATTGGCATGCTAAACCCAGGGTTGTGAGTTCAATCCTTGAGGGGGCCATTTAGGGATCTGGGGCAAAAATCTGTCTGGGGCTGGGTCCTGCTTTGAGCCGGGGGTTGGACTAGGTGACCTCCTGAGGTCCCTTCCAGCCCTGATAGTCTCTGATTTTATGATAAGAGAACTCGACTATGCTGTGCTGCTGTTGGCTGGTTGAAATAGCTGAGGGAATGAAAAGGGGAGGCCAGCAAAGGTCTGAGTCAGAAATGGGATGTCCACTGGCACCGAGCGGACAGTGGAAAGCGCTTGATGAGTAAGTTCATGCTCATGACCCAGCATAAGTGACAAACCCTCAGTGAGGCTTGGTGGACTGCCAAGAAATAGGAAGGCTGAGTCAGCAGAAAGAGACATTCCATGGTAGAGAAACCGTGCCTTGATTTTAAGGAATCGTTTTACAAAGTTTTCTACAAACTCGGAGCACTTTGGGATTTTGCGTAGAGGATAATAAAGGCAGCAACGCTACTGTGCTGGCCGCAGGGTGGTAATGGTGGGTGGATTGCGTGTTACTATGCTGTGTCATTTTCAGACCTGACCTTGGCAGCAGATCAGTCTGCGAGGTTGTGGATGTCAGGCAGTGAATAAGCGGTAAACTGGCAGGCTGCTGCCCTCTTGTGGCAAAATGAGGTATTAATTAATTGAGTCACATTTGTTTGCAGATGTGCAATAATTTATCACAGTCGTTATTAGGCAGTGGGCCAGATTCTGCTCTCAGTCAAATCTGGAATAAGTCCATTTTCCAGATTTATGCAATTGTAACTACGAGCCAAATCTGGTCCTGTGTGTTCAATATTTTAAACTTTGTAAAAACCCTCTCATTTAATTAAATGATGAAAACCGTCCACGTATTTTCCAGAAAATTCAGTGGAAGAAGCGGAGTGTTGCATCAATCATTTAAAGTCACCTTGCTCAACTTGATCTGATACTGAACATTCCTTACAGCCCAAAGTCGGATTTCATCGGAGAGCCAGGCAGGAAGCGCTGCGCTTGTCAGTGACTTTCCAGAGAATTTACAGAAAAGCTGGGCCAGCAGCCAGCTTAGATGTGGCCACGGACTGTGGTTTTTTAAATTTATCTTTTTAAAACTGGGTAGAAAAACTGGGCTTAGTTCTAATCCCCTTCACAGTACGATGTCTTAGCTGAAACAGTCTACGGTGACCCGGGAGGGACCTTTCCCTCTAAACGACTGAGTTAATAACATCACCTCCTGCTGCTTAAATTAGTCTTAGAAGTTAGCTAAGGTGCTTCTGCAGCAGAGGCCAGGAGATCCCCCTTCCTCATTCTGTGACCTCAGACAGCCTCTTGAGTCCCTTTGAAGTGTCAGGATCCTTGGTTCTATTACCGTCTCTGGAAGGTAGTGTGTGCTAATGGTTAGAGAGGTTCTAGTGCCAATTCTGCTACTAATTTGCCATTTGACTCCATTCCAATGGGTACGTCTACACTGCAATTAGTCCCCCGCAGCTGGGTGATTCAGGCTCATGCAGTCCACCCATCTGTGACTCTCCCAGAGCCCAGGTGCCAGCCAGAGCTTTAACGTCTACACTGCAATTAAACGGCCCCTTAGCCCGGGCCCCTTGAGCCCGACTCAGCTGGCAAGGGCCACCACGGGTTTTTATTTGCAGTGCAGACGTACCCTTCCAGGCTTTCCTATCATTCTGCTGTGTGATTAGGGCACCAAATCCCTCCCCTGTAGAAAAGAGAGAGAGCTTCAGAGGCTGGGTGTGAGGTTCATGGATGAATGTCGGTAAAGCTCTGCACTGTCGACAGAAGGCATTGCAGAAGGGTGAAGTGTTATGCTAAAGGACTGGGGGGAAATTCTCCCGCAGAAGCCAAAGGGATCATAGAAATCATAGAATGTCAAGGTTGGAAGGGACCTCAGGAGGTCATCTAGTCCAACCCCCTGATCAAAGTAGGGCCAATCCCCAGACAGATTTTTTGCCCCAGACAGCTCCCTCAAGGATTGGGCTCACCACCCTGGGTTTAGCAGGCCAATGCTCAAACCACTGAGCTATCCCTCCTGTTGATCTGCTGTGGATTTCCTGAGGTCCTTGTTACCTGTCGAAACGCCATCAAGAGGCACGGTCTATGGTGGATCTCCTGGTTCCATCTCTTTCTGAGACAAGTTGCTGTTTCAGATGATTTTACACTTTCCACCAGTGGCTGAAAATGGAATTCAGAGAATGGGCGGGGGGTGAATGGGAGAATGCCAAGTTCAAACGATCTCATCAGAAAACTTGTAGCAGTGAAATTTCCCAGTACGTGCTTCAAATTGCTCTAAGCAAGGTGCTGATGCCACTGAACAGAGGTGCCTTCTGGCTTATCTGCTTCTTGAGACCGACCATTCACAACTGAGTCTTTTTATCTAAGCTCAGAGCAGAGGCTGCTCCTGAAAACCTTTTACGCACAAGAAAAGCTTCACTGAAGACAGTGGGGCTGGGCATGGGAGTAAGGGATTGCAGGCCCTCTCCTTGGGCCACTGATGTCAGTGCAGGCTCTGTCCCCATGTTACCAGCGAAACAACTGAATTGCAAGCAGGTCTTTGGGTTGGATTATATCCAGTTAAACAATTGAACACAGATATCTATTTCCTACACTGATATATGGGAGAGGAGACTGCTGGACCCAGCAGGAGCTTAACAAAATGGCAGAACTGTAAAAAGGTAGTTTCAAGGAGCCTTGAGAAGGATGGCAGGCACCTGTTGCGTGTGGCCCAGGTCACCAGATGCCTGGAAACAATCCATAAGACTGACTATTAATGTGAAGAGTTAGTTTTATTTATCATGTCCATTCTGGCTGGATATCTACACAGCCCCGACTATGACCCAAAGTCTAGCATACACCAAGTCTAAAACCTGATATGGATTCCTTAGGGAGTCTACTTTGGTTATTCCAAAGTCCTGGTTTGGAGTGGAGAGGGGGTCATTCTAGGACAGTACTGCAGTCCATGCTAGGGCCGGCTCAAGGCACCAACTAAGGAAGCAGGTGCTTGGGGCGGCCAATGGAAAGGGGCGGCACGTCCGGGTCTTCGGCGACGGGTCCCTCAGTCCCTCGCTTCCTCTTTGATCTGCCGCCGAAGAGGAAGGGAGGGAGTGAACGACCCGCCGCCGAATGGACCGGCGCGATAGAGCTGCTGCTGACGTGCCGCCAGTCGGGTTTTGGGTTTTTTTCGCTGCTTGGGGCGGCGGAAAACCTGGAGCCGGCCCTGATCCATGCAGTTGTGTTTGTTACCATAGGCTTTTGAGCACTGAAATGGCAGATGGACGGGTTGCAATACAGCCTCCCATTCCCACACTCAGCTCGTCTACTCGTTCACAGGAAAGAGCTGCAGGAAGATGGGCTTTTCTGTGTTTTGGACTGGGTGCATATTGGATAATTACGAAGTGCTGTGCGTTGAATACGGCTGCTTCTGCTACCGAGCTTTAATGCTGTCTTTGGTCTCTTTGATTTTCTAGACATTGATTATCTCACCTCAGTCCTGTAATGTGCTAGAGAACTGGCTCTATGATGAAACTTCACAACGCTGCTGCTACCAGTGTCCCTCAGGTCAGTATGTTTGTAACTCGGGAACAATTAACAGGCAAACGTTCCGGCACATCTTACTGGTGCAAATGCACTAGTCAACATGCAATGGTGGGGAGAGTTCTTTCTGTTCCCTGCATATGTGTGCCGTGTGCAGTTTTATGAATGAGCAACAGGTCTGGATCCAGATCCCCCTCCCCTCAAACGTCCCAGTGATCCGCAGTATGAAGGGCATAAGCCCCTGCTCGTTTTTAGGCATTGACAGTTTTGTCAGTGCGGCCTGCAGACATTTAGGCTTAAAATTTAGATCAATGTAGCTACGTTGGTTGGGGAGGGGACGACAAATCCAACCCTCCCCCCCCCCCACACACACACACCCTGCTCACTGTAGCTATGCAGATCTAACCCTCAGCAGGGAGGTAGCTATGCTGACAGAAGGATCCTTCCATCGCCACTGCTACGGTCGTTGTGGGAGGTGGTGTTCCTACACTGATGCAACAACCCCTTCCTTCCATCAGCGTAGGCAGTGTCTCTATTACAGGGTTCTGCCAGCATAGCTACAATGGAACAGCCAGGCCAATATCGTCTCCGGGGTGTAAACATGCCCTGTGAACTTGGTCTGGCAAGGAGCTGTGCCACTAGCAATAAGGCACTCAGCACCTCGTTGGAGGTGCTCAGAGCCTTTGCAGAATCGGGTCCTTAATTTGCATCTCGCTGAATTTTTGCGTGGTCGCGTCCAGTGGTGCGAAGCACGTGGACAGACGGTGTAAAACGCTGCCATCGTGAATTGCTGGTGTTTTGCACCCACTGCTGCGAGGGACTGCACCAGAATCGGCCCCACGGATTTGCTGCTGCAGGGTTTCCAACTGTCCAGTAAAACTGTGAAGCTCAATTTGCATCCGATCGCAGGCCATAAAAATAGCAAACGGCACCGGGGAAACTCTGTCGCTTTCTTCAGAGTCAAAACAGTTTAGAAAGTGTTCCAGAGGACAGGGAGGTGGGCAGCTTGTTTTCAGCGCCAGCAGCAGGCCGCTCGGAAGTAGCATGACTCATGAAGAGTAACAAACCTTGTGGTCAGAAACAGGAAATGGCTTAGAGAGACCAAGTCCCGGAAATGCCTGAAGCTAGCCCCATTGGCCAAAATAGTTCAGTGGGCGGGGCATTTTGTGGCATTTCCCTCTCTGTAAAAATGTTTTTCTTTTCTTTTTCTTTTTTTTTTTCTCAAAAGGAAATTTTTGACATTTATTTGTTCGGCTGATAGCGTGTGGGGGTATTGTGCTTGGCTGCGAGCATTTGCATGAAGTTGGATTGGGTCAATAGCAGGACATCCTGCGCTGTGGCCATGTGATGTCAAGACTATGCCAGGGCTCCTGAGAGACCCATCCCTGTGTGTGGCCAGCCGAGACTTTACAAATTAGGAAGAGGGAGACTGCTTCCAGTAAAACAAGAAATTAGGGCTGACGAAGCTGCTTTTACCCAGTTTGGAACCTACTCAAATGGATGGACAGCCATCTGTCTTGTGTCTACACCATCCAAATCCCACATCTGGGCAGGGGGTTAGACTCGGGACCCTGGCGGTCCCTCCTAACCCTATGGTTCTATGATCCTCAACTGGGGTATGTCAGT